AGTAGAGAGAGAGAGAGAGAGAGAGAGAGAGTTATCAGATATTCCACCGGCGACAAGGTTCCTGCGAGTACGGGTCGTATAAGGAATATAAGGATAAATCACGAGGTTATAGTGGCATCTATTATGCTTCGTGTCCCCGGGAAAATTCCTCACAAGATGGCTCGTTATATTGCTCCCTGTCATGCTTGTTTTCTCTGGCTCTTTATTCGTCTATTACTTTGTCTCCGATACCAAACCCACCCCCCCCCCCATAGCCAAGGATACGGGGGCAGTTAAAATAGTTAAATAGACGCAGAGAGTTTACACCCTTCAGCTTTGATCTCACCATCTCCCTATCTTTTATGTTACTCTGTCTGTTTGTTTGTTTGTATCTCTATTTCCCTGTCCCCTCAATTGTCTTTGACTGGTGGGTGGTTGGAGGTCGCCGCTGGTCGGTCCTACTTCTTTACTTTCAACTCTGTTGTTTCTGTCTGTCTGTCTTACTTTTTCCCAGCACCAAATGACCAATATTGTTTCGATGTGCTTCTCTTTACTTAAACTCAAACATGTCTTTGTCTGTCTTTCTTTATCTTCCTCAGTTGTTTATCTCTTTATCTGTTTTTCAGTCTGTCGCTGTGTCCCTCTGTCTTCCTCTATCTGTCTCTTCCTTTCTTGGCTACCAATACATTTTTTTAGCGAATTTCAAAATAGACAAAGTAGTAGGTCCAGCCAGAGAGCCTTCGACTTTGAGTTGAGAGGTTCCGTCAGACATGTCCTAAAGGTTCAGAACTCGCCTTTGATGCTAAAGGTACCGGGCACCGGATTTGAACCTGGTCTGTGCCAGCATGTCCAAATGTCTTTTCTTCTTCTACCTGTTATACTTATTCTGCTCCTTCCTCCCCATTTTCTCTTCTTTGTTTATTCTTCTATCTTTCTCCGATTGAAAATTAAATACATAACCCACTCACTCACTTAATCACCTTCGTCCTCCACATCCCTGATTTTAAGTTTGGTGAGATTGAGCACCAAGTCAACTTGGATAATGATGAAACATTTTGGAGGTCCTGTATGAGTGTTACGCACATTAAAGATCCCCTTGTTGTTGAAAATGATAGAAGTAAGAAGAGTAAGCTCTCAGGCTGCCACCCAGACAAAATTCGAAGTTTAAAAATTCCCTACCATAAAAATATGCGTATCACATCTGTAAAATAATCACACACACCCTTACAGCTTTCTTGATTTTGAATGTGTGGACCATGTCTCTTCTTTGGGGAAAAACTAGGGAGTCAATATTTGAAGGGATGGGAGTAGAATTTGGGCAATTTACTTCCTCTATATCTAGCTCGAAGGCAAAGCTGGATCATGCATTCTGCTTTAAGACTGTCTGCCAAAATGCCAAAAGCCATAGATTATGTATATGACTCTGCTATATGATCAGCATTGGAAGTGGGTATTTTTTAGGTCATGATATTGTTTCCATATTCTGAATTTGTATTTGTCTCACTTTCTTCTCACTTTTGGCGAGACAGACAAAAAAAAAAAGAAATTCAGAATCCCCCCCCACTGTTCTCTTGGCCAACCCCTCCCTTACACATCTCCTTTCAATTTACAGTCCATCCAAAGGTATGAGGTTACCCACAATCCCACATGATTGTCTTACGTAGATGCTGGACTTTTCTTTTCTCTTTCTTCCAGGAAACAAAGTGGAAAATGTATGCGGAGGTGGATGTGGAAGATGAGAGCGAACGTACGTCAGTGACCTTAGTCAAAGAAGTGAGCTTCACCTGCAAGATGCCAGATTATGGCACTTTTCATCTGAAGCAGGTAGGTTTGACCCAAGAGGTTGGGAACAGGGTGGGAGCTAACCAAGACTCTAGTGCTTTGATCTTGAAGACTATTTTCTCAGAGTTTCTTCTTTCTTTAGGAGAGACATCAAATTACTGTTTTTGTTTTCTCTTTGTGGTAGAAATAAGGCCTGTGGCTGTGATCATTCACTTTGTCTGAATAAGAATAAGAAGTTAGTTTCTATTAGTCCTTGTTGGTGTGAGCTCTCCATGCTACTTTAATGTGATTTCGCGGAAAAGATATGCAGTCAAACCTGCTTTAAAGGCCACCTGTATAAGAAAGTCATCTGTACAAACATCCACTTCTCGTTCCTTTTTATTTAACATTGTAATGACACTATGTCAGATGTCTGCCTGCGTAAGACAACCACTTTTATAATGACAATGGGTGGTAGTCTTAGACAATTTCGACTGTATTTGTATTGTTGTATAAAGGTCTCACTTTTGAATGACTTCAGTATTTCACACTTTTGAATGACTTCAGTATTTAACATTTTTGTATGTGTATTGTCTTAATATGCACATTATCTTTCAAAATGTTGTGCCCTTGCTCCAAGAGCTGTTTAAAAGTGAAGTTTGTATCATGTGAATAAAATGTACACATAATATGAACCGCCTGATTGATGTTAATGTATTGTCTGCAGCCACCTTTCATCATGAGCAACTGGTGCCAGGGTGTGGTGAAAGACATGACCATTGAATGTGTAATCAGTTATGAGGTAAGTTATCTGAGCGCTTTTTCATCTCTCGGAGAGGTGCTATTTTTCACAATAAGTTTTTGGGTCTTCAAAAGATACTACTTGGTACATAATTTCTGTTTATTTTGTGTGTGAATCAGCCTTTCTTATTTCCAACTGTTTCATATGTTTTGAAAATCCAAAATTTTGATGATCTTATTTTCTACCTGCCCTGCTGCACTCTCCTGTGTGCTTCATATTCATTGAGTTGGCATTCTGGTCATATATAATCCTGCATATGTGCATTCCTATGTGCATGTCATGCCATAGGCCTCCATCTTCTGCCAGCTCCTATTCATCAAGCACCCTCATGACCTTGGAAAGTAACTTCCTGCAGCATGTTTTATGAGATGTTATGACAGTGTTTCTCATTCTCTTTCTATCAATGTTTTGATAAGAAGGGTTAATTACAATAAAATGGTGTATATATTTGTTTTTTAAAAATCTGCTTTGCATAAGTTTGCCCTGTTATTGTTTGTGTAATGTAAGAATGGGAGGTAGTTTCTAAACGTATTTCACATTTTTCATTTTGCAGCCAATGGTGAGCAAGCCACACACCACTAGATTTTTATACCAGCTTGATGGAGAGAGCCCGGGGTCCAGCCAGAAAACGGTGGTTCTGACACTCAATATGTAAGTCTCTTTTGCCTTTTTATGTCCCAACTGGATAAACTGTAACTTTTGTAATGATTCCTCTCAGTTCTGAAAGGCAGACGTTTATTTAAGTGTGTGCTAGGGCTGGATCCTGCTCACCAAATTTGAGAGTGGCGATTCGCGAATCAGTCGGCTTCAAAGAATCGCGAGTACGCGAGCGCTCGTGGAACTGTGGCGGAACTCTGACTGAAACGGAACAGTGTCATATCAACGCCACTTGGTGAGCGCAAGTCCCACTCTTGTTGTTCCGCCATCCTCTCCGCCCCACACCCTTTGTTGCGCTGCTCTATCAACTGACCTCGATTAGTGACCCCCATAAATTCACCCCCTCCCCCCATGATTTGCTAAAACAATGGCTCTATACCGAACTCGTTCATTTTGTTTTAATAGGGGGGTTGGACTATACCATCTTTTGTAAAATAAGGGGAGCCATACTAAATGTTCCGTTCCGTTCTTGCGCTCATGACTCGACTCAGCAGTAGGTTAAAGAAGCCACAAGGTGGTGACAGCGACAGGGGAGTGAACCGGGAATCGTTTGGTGATACTGTTCCGCGTTCCGCTGAAGTGAATCGTGAATCGCGTTCCGCAGGCAAGAGTGGCGTTTCAGTTCCGTTCTCGCGCTCGCGACCCAGCAGTAGTGTGTGCTTTTAGTCTAAGCTTTACTAAACCCCCCCCCCCACTAAATTACAAAACTAACCAAGTAAGTAAAGAACTAATGGTGCAAGCAAGGAAACTATTTTTTGAATATGCACTGCTTTTTATTCTCAATTTAAACAAAAAAGTTGGAGTGTATTTATTACAATGATACTATATTGTAATTTTTTGCCCTTACCAATCCTACTGTGCTGATCGCTGTTTCTCCATTTAAGTTACAAAATAAAAGTCTTTCAAAGTTGATTTAACCGTTTAAAAATATAAATAGGAGTTAGATGAAAGGAAGCTATCTCCTCAACTCAACCTGACTTGTCAAAAGAAGAAAGCTAGTGGCGTACATGTCTCCCCCACAGGCCCAGCACCCAGGCAGCTGAAGAGAGCGTGGCAGCTACCTCAGTATCCATGCCCACCTCCCCTGTGCACACTATATCGATGCCATATAACACCAGCTTCCCCAGCCTGCAGGGGGCCTGGTCCAAGTCTTTCTTCCCTGTGGAATTGCCCATCTCCAGGAGTTCAAGTAAGTACTCCATTAAATAGTACATGATGCTGTTGAGGGGTGGGTGTGGGGGGGGGGGTTGCTTGTGTAGTTCTTGGTTTGGGGGGAAAAAGTCGTCAAAGTGGTTTACACAATAAATGTTAAGGAGGTTTTTTTTGTCTTTTTAAACTGTCGTTTTTGATTGACTCACCAATGCATTTATGAAACTCTTGCTGTTATGAAAAAAGGAAATGTTGTAGAGGCCTGTGTGTAGGATCTGAATATTTCAAACAAATTAATTTTTATACTTATGTAATGCTTTTAATGGAATTATATATGAAAACAAAAGAAATAAGAACCCCTGGATATATCTTTCAAATGTTATACCAGGTGTGCTTTTTCCTCATTTTGACATAACATTATTTTAGTACGAAGTGTAGCTTTTCTGATACATCTATATTATGTTTATCATTTGTTTTGCAAGTCAGATCTGATTTACTTTTTATTCCTCTGTGACTGTGGCTTAAGTTATCCTAATGCAGGGCATCGTTTTCTTTATACTTTTATCGTGTCTCATGTTGCTTTAAATTTCTTGAGAGTTAATCTGATTTACCTCATTATTATTACTACTGTCTTGCAATGTCAAATGTTGTGCCACTTAAAAAAAATTAAGGGCATTTTGTCTGTGTAGTGCACCTTTTCTTACTCTGTTTGTTTAATTTTTGATAATTTTGTTTCAGGTAAATCGGATATGTGGGCAAATATTGTAGCAGGCAGAAAGCAGTCACTCACCAAGCCTATTCCAGGCACCACTAATGTCCTGTTCCCAGAGCTACCCTCTTCACACAGCCACACGAGCCCTCTGAGTCAGGACAGTTCCCACTATAGCGTTGGCCTTGGTTCACGAAGCTCACACCATAGCCCCTCCAGGACCAGCCAGATGTCAAGGTCGTCATCGCGAAACTCTCCATCTCTGTCAGACACAACATCTTCATCGGGGGTTCAGAAGGATGAACCTGATGGAAATAAGAGCCCCAGCATTACTGCTGGCAATCCGAAAACACTGAAAGTTATGTTCTCTCTCGGCGGGGAAGACGGAGGAAGCTCTGTGGCAAGCAATAGTTCTGAGAGTGGTTTCAGTGAGCGCGATGTGTGTCACTCATATGCAGACGCGTGCAAGACTGTTAAAAAGTCGGATGTTAATGCAGAAAAGATCTCTAGTCAGGGTAAGCTGCCCTCTGGAACTGCCAAAGATAATAATGCTAAGCGTACAGAAGGTGAAAAGGACCAGTCTATGCAGGACAGAAATTTTGTACACCGTCCGTATCAGGGGCAGGGAAGTCGTGGAGGGCGGGGGCGAGGTCGTGGCGGCCGGAGACATCTCAGATTTACCGAAGAGGAGAGGCCCTGGGGCAGACAGAATAGTGGCCATTCTCGCAGCGAGCCTCACGCTAAAGGTGCCAGGGACTTGCCCAGTACTGTTAACTACCGCCGTGCCTTCAGTGGGGGTCATACTTCCCCAGGCACCAGCCACAATAAGGATGTGAGTAATGGGGGTGCACCTGTGAGTAATGGGGGTTCAACTGCGAATAGTGGGGGTTCAACTGTGGGCCGAGGGGGCTCGGCGGGTAGGTCACGTGACCTCCAAGGCCAGGGAGATCATGGAGGAAAGAATCCTAACTGGGACAAGAACTGGGAGCCCAGGGAAGGGGGCAAGTATGTGAACTCTCCTAGGGAGGGAGGCAGGTATCCCAACTCCTCTAGAGGTCGGGCTGGTAGCAATGCAGGAGGTTATCGTTACAATCGTGGAGACAGAGCCAATGACACAGCTCACAGGCAGCATCAAGGCAAGAACCATGCTCTGCAGGAAGAGGATGAGGAGGGGTTTACGAATGTCGTGCACAGATAACAGATAGTGTAGTTTAGGTGTGGTTTTTATATTGAAGTACACTTCTCTTTGTATCTTTCAAAGAGGACATTGAAGGTAATGAAGACTTTATCCCTAGAACAATGTGTAGCCTTAGTTTGTGCTAGGTAAAGATGACATCTGGGGTAGTAATGATTTAATTTGTAGTATTAAACTTCCTTGATGTGTGTCTTCCATATTTGATATTTAAGGAAGTAAAGATTTTGATTTTAGTAGAGTTCATAGCATATTCTTTCTGTGGACAGTAAAGGTAAAATAAATTAAATACTTCTGACAGAATGCAGTCTCCATTTGTATAGCAATGGAAAGAAATAAGTCACTTGCTGCATTCAGCCATTTGAGATTTGTAGGTCTTAAAGCGATCTTTAATTTGATACCCATATTGGTATACTGGCAAACTACAGTACACATTTGTGTTAGCGGTATTTATAACAGTAGAGCTACAGTGGTTTTATTTCTAATTTTTACAGTTGCAGTCGTAGTCCTTGATGTTGTGACATGCGTAGAGGGCAGCTGATCGTATGTCAGTTTAATTCTGAACTTTCCTTACCACGAACAGGTAGAAAAATGTTTAGGAAGTTTAACTCTTGTTCTTAGTTCTTAGTTGTAGTATGTGTCTTTTGTTTTTTATGGTTGTTAAGGCTGTGTTAATTTGTTTCGTTGGATTAAGTTCGGTACACCACCCTCCTCTGCATTATCCATGTATGACAGTTGGGATAGTGTTTATTTTATTCTGTCTGTATATGTCATTCAGTACACTGCCATTGTCAATGACTCTACACTGGAACAGTTAGTCAAGTGTTTTTTGTGATAGAAATTGTGTGCACCAAGAAGTGTCAGGTGTAATGAGAGGCTGAAGAAATGGTGTCAGTGATATTGTTGTTGAGTGTTTCATGACTGGGTCATGGGCGTAGGCTGCAGAGCCCTCGCCTTGTCAGGGAATGACCAAACATGTGCCATATGCTGGAGAAATTATTGAACTAGGTTTTCAGTCTATGTGCATACATTTTGTGTGCGTGTGTGTATGTATGTGTGTGTGTGTGTATGTGTGTGTTTGCGTTCATTTTTGTGTTTTAAAAAAGTTTGTGACTGCAAGACACCAGTGATACAATGATAGTTCAAAAATTATTTTTTAAAATTGTCCCTTTGTTTTGTTTGTCTGCGTTGCTATTTTCTAGCCTTGAATGAACTAGTGTGTTGATGTGCTTCTATTTATCTTTGAATGAAACAACTGGACGTGTAAGATTTTTTAAAATGAGAGAATTATTTTGCAAGAACGAGAATCAATTTCCGAGTTTAGACTGTTTTGAGAGTGTATAGAGATTTGCGGGTGTTTCTTTTCCTGATTTTTTTTTGTTACTGGTGCTTTAAGTAAGTACAGTTTATATTGGTAAGTATGTGGGTTTCTTTTTCCAGATTCTTTTTACCGGTGCTTTAAGTACTTAAAGTTTTTCATTCTTTGAATTTCATTGCGCACAAGTCACTTTTGTCTGGTTGAAAGAGTATCAAAGGTGAGAGTGAAAGGAACAAACTGAACTATTCCTCTGTACCTTGAAAAATGTGTTTTGGACAGAGACATTAGAGAAATATCTTTTATTTTATATTCACTTCCAATTGTATATAAATCATAGCATGTTGTGTAAGATCACAACAGTTAATCAGTGTGTATTGTTTTATGGGCAGCAGTCCGCACAAATTTATTTATGCTCATGGTTTTATTATGTACCTCACACTAGTTTATGAGACCCGAGACCCAACATTTTGCAAACCAAATACTGGTTTGTGTGAGTGAAGTTTGTTTTAGAATGAGCCTCGAGTGGAACATGCTCAGCAGTGTGTTTGTGTGTATGTGTGTGTATGTGTGTGTGTGTGTGTGTGTGTGTGTGTGTGTGTGTTTTTAAGGCATTTATATAGATAGAGGCTTCATAAGAGAGAAATAGTAAATATGAAAAGTAAGTTCACACGTCTTTTGTGGGCTTTAGTGCTTTTTACTTATACAGTATCTTTAATGTTGAAGGCTAAATACTATGCACTGGTTACGCTTGATTGACAATAACTTTTTTTGATTGCTTTTGAAAATCTGTCACATGAAAGTAAAGTCTTATAGCTTCACTCGTTACTTGTATACATTCATCAGCGGCAGGACCGCCTCAAGGCAGAAACTTTTGTATTTATTTGATTCTTGTAAAAGAGGTTTTACCGACGTATTGTTTGGATTGTGAATGGCTGCTGTTTTAGCTTATCCATTGTGAGAGTTTTGTGTTCTCATTTACTCAGATTCAGTATTGTAAGCTATATTGAAAACTCTGTGATTGTACTAATTATGACTTAAGTGTAAAAAAAAGTAAATTTTAAAATTCAAACTTGGAATTTATCATTCCACTTGTTGATAAATAAGCCGCTATTTATTTTTTGTGTATGTGTGACGTGTGTGTGTGTGCGTGCGTGCGTGCATGCATTTGTGCGTACGTGCGTGTGAGCTCATGCATGTGGTGTTAGTAGTGCCATTTTATCACGCGTTTTATTCATAAGCTCCTTTCGTATTTAATGTTTACAGATGTTTTTGTTTATATTCCAAACTGATTTGTAGAAAATAAGACTTGGTCATGTTGTCTTGTTTCCTGACAGCAAAACCAAAATGAATGTGGATGTTACACCATGTAGGCCTATGTAAGCAAAGTTTGTTGTTACCTTACCCGAATGACTTTGGGTGTAGCCATTACCATGAATTAGAAAATTCTTTCTGATTAGGAAAACTTCAGACTTTGTGTGTAGGGGCCCTTACAATAGAATTGTACTGGTACTTTAAAAGTATTTTTTTAAAAATTGGTCATTACTTAATGTACACTAGTGGAGAAATTGTACAGTTAATTAAGGAAAAAGCCTTTCTGTTTCTGTATTCTATGTGTTATGCGTTGATGTGTAAGTGTACATGTGTGTATGTATGTGCATGCTTGTGTTCAGACATATTTGTTACCTGTACTGAGATTGCAATCTGATGATTTGATAAGTAAGCAAGAATATAAAAAAAGACTAAAAAAACGTGTGTAAAGGGAAGTGTATTTCTGAAAGACTAAATTCCAAGAGAATTTTTGAAAAAAATAATTGAAGGATCTGAGAGTAAATGCCAGGCGTGTATATTTTTAAAAGCTCGTTGTGTGTTTACTTTTTTTTCTGTACAGAACTATGCTCTCTGACCAGTTTTGCATTCTGCCATTTATGATGATAAACCTTTGAGCTTTGAACTGCTGAGCCTGAAGGATCTGGGCACCTGATGTCTGCAGGGTTGTGTGGTATGTTTACACCACTGCATGTACACTGTGCAGGAGGGTGCAGTAATTCTCATTATAGTAGGGTTAAAAGAAAAAGTATTGGGTTCAAATGAGGACATTTACTAGTATACTTATTTAATACTCTTCTTCCTTTTTCTCTCAAGTTAGCAACATGTTTCCTAATCGAAAAAAGCTGAACATGTGGTTAAATTTCTTAGTTGGGTTTTCATTGTTATTGTTCTTGCCCAGCTTTGTTCCCTTCTTTGTCGTATGAACTGATGACAATGTGAATTTATTGATTTAACAAGATATTAGTCCAATGCTACAAGTGGATTGTTTTTCTACTTAGTAAAGTATTAGTATTTGTATTATCACAAGGATCAAAACCGAGGCTTTGGAGGCTTAATTACTTACAAAAATGCAAGTTAGCTTTTGGTGTTGAAAGGCTTGTTTTACATTAGAGTGATAACGTCTACAGAATGCGGAGGTGGAGTTAAAATTGGAAACTCTTTATTCTGCTTTGACGTGACTTTTCTGTTATTTTGATAGCTGTGGACCCTCATATGTGCACGTGATTGTAGAATTACTGATTCTTATCACATCGTGCACCTCGGTAACCTTGGGGTGTATAAGGTCGGCACATGTGATCTGAACTGCTGTCAAACCAAATCGTTCTCTCTGTCTTCTTCTACACTCTGGTTTAAGAAAGTCTTATAGTTTTAATACTCACACATGATATGCAAATATTTGATATATAGTGTTTGCACTGTATGTTTCAATGGATATTTGATGTACATGGAGTCCATTCTTGAAACTTAAGTTCCTAACCCTGCATATATTTAACCAGTATTCATGCTTTTTGCTTTTATTTTAAATATGATTTGAACTTTCTGGTATTATGAAAACCAATATTAGGCACTTCAGTGAACGCGCTCACTAAGGCGTCATTTGGCTTCGGAAAGTCCCATAGGGTTTTGTTTCCGGACATGACGTCTCATCGC